GAATCGGATCGAACGTTCGATACGAAACAAGATACGATCGTGATTGTCCTTCTTCGGTTTTCTTTTTATATTTATCGATCGATGATTAATCGCGAAAAGGCAGCTCTCGTTGCTTGGTTTTTCTTCTCACTGTTGTTCTATCGTCATTTTTACGATCGTTCTATCGATCGTGATAGAGTTTCAAGCGGGATATTGTGTTTAGATCGTTGGAAAAATTCTTCTATTCTTATGGAGGTAATAGTTATTCGTCCGTTGTGTCCATTTGACATGACGTGATAAATGCAAAAACGTAGGCATGGCTTGTATATTGCTTTGTTATTTCTGATGAATTGCGATATGTACAATCTTATTTTTAAACGCGTGCAATACTCGTTGCTATTAAATTCATACGTTTTTTTAGTCAGACAGTTTACAAAAATTATTCGTCTTTCCTTTCTGTTAATATTATATTGATTTTATTACATGTATATGTACTTTGCTTGTATTTTGTTTTGTATATATTTTTGAAAAACGAAGCTCGTTCGCATTGCGGTATTATTTGTTATTCGTGCGGACTCTCAACGCTCTCTATATCTCTGTAATCTGTTTAAAAATCTTCCATAATACAAAACGTAACCCTGTTGCTTTCTCTCGGAATATTTCTCGGTAGTGTGAAATAATTTTCATTTATTTCTGTATCCAAAATAGTAGATATAGAACACTCGAAGAAACTCTTGCAAGCAAAGAATTCAGCAGGCGTGTTCAACAAATTTTGCAGTGTTCACTTTGCAAATCTTTTTGTATCCGTGAATGTATAGAAATTATCTAGTTCTTAGAGTAGAGAAACGAGGCGATGACGCGAGCAACGCGTCAAATAATACGAATCGAATCCAATTAATTGCATTAGATAATTAAGTTCGATTTTACGACCTATTATTGGCTATGAGCTAATCGTCCTCGTTACAAGCATTGCGACTGTTCTAGTTGAAAGAGTAAAACCAATCTGAAGGATAATCTCGTTGCATCTGAACCACAGTTTAAACCAGTTTTAAACATTAAATAAATCACAAAAATTTGAAACGTTGCGCGAATTATTTGGACTTGAATTACAAATTATTTAAATTGCCTTTCGTTTATTTTGTTATTTTTATTCCCTTGTAGAAGTTTATTTAAAATTTTGTACACGTGAGAAAATTAAATTTAACAAGTTTTTTATTTTACACTCGAACCAACGTGAAAGCTTTGCGGATAGTTTCAGCAACTTTTCCAAAGTGTCACGAATTTCATGTGCCTAGCGAAAATAAATTACGCGACACAGTCCACTCGCCAGCATGTCCTTTTCAATTATGACAATTTCTGCCTTATTCGCATATTCTCCCGTAACATATTGCAAAAGTTGGTCGTGTATGTCTACGATAATTATCGTTGGCCGATAAAGTGTCCATTGCGAGATTTCTGCGAGTGTAGGTCGCGTTTTAAAGAAGGGGGCGTGATTTCTTTCGTACGTAAGCCTGCGATCTCGTAATGCACGACAGTTGGACGATTAGCAGCCGTTTTAAATTACGTGCAAAGTAGACAATAATAGAACGAGAACACCGGCTACGCGTCTTGCCGCGAGGTAAAAACATTTAACGCTTTTGCAGTAGCTCGGCCAACCGCGACAGTAGTATAACAAGAATTTCACGAAATCTGTCTACTTTATCTTCAATTATTGGCAAAAGAATAATTGTCTACGAATATCGAATCAATGCCAACGATTCGACGATAAAGATGAAGATACTTTCTAAAAAATTTCACTGCCATACACCGAAACGATAACGATTTCTATCGAAAGTGCACATCTTCGTGAAAGTTTACATGTTTATCGGAAATCTCTAAAAGTCGAAGTTAAGAAATATCGAAAATCGCAGTTACCCTGAACCAAGTTTCGTAGAATACATCGAAACGAAAGAATACTACGAGAAACTGGATCGCGCTTATTTAAGGTATTAAGTAATAAATACCTTTCTATAAATACTTATATGCTTCCAGCAAATTCGTTCGTTTTACAACATTTTGCAGTCTCATTTCTCGGTAAAGTTCTTCTTAACAGACTGGCGGGAAGTAGCCAAAATAAACGACGTGAACAAAAATAAGTACCAATCGTCTACCTGTTACGTTGGAAAATAGAAACTTACGAACGATCGAATAAAATGGAAACGAATCGACAATGCGATCGACGTCGAATCGAGACGCGTTTACGGTGACACAGTTTATTCTAAACGCGATAAATAAACAATCCGTTTGATCGATTGTTCACCGTTGTTTGCATAACGAGAATTTCGATCCTGCTAACAATCGAAACACACCCTGGTTCGTGTTACGTCAACGCCAGTTGTCATTTAGACGTTAACCATTGTCACCGTTGCAAAGTGTTCGCTAATGGTCTGCAACCAATCGAACGATCTTCGATCGACCGAATCGATCCCCACGCAATTTCGTAGAATATCACTGTCGTTGGTTGCATAAAATTCGTTTGCTTTGGCATAGTTATAAATGGTAATTAATAGACTGGGAATGTTTATGAAAATTTGTTTCATCCGCTAAATATTACAAGGGATACTTTATTTTTGATATTTTACATAGTTTTACGCACTTATTTTCCATAAACATATAAAGATTTCATTAATTAGATACAAGTATCGCTTACAGATTAATGGTTTGTATCTTTAACGTGTTTATATCATTTATAATTCAACGAATGATAATTGATTTGAAAAAATTGGAAAGCAACAGTAAAACAGCTAATCTTTACAACGATTGCGTTTATTTTGTTTTCGTGTCGTTCTTTAACACAATTTCTTGTCCCAAAGGAGAAATTAAGAAATGTTTCGCGACTACTGTTGCCGAAGTATTTAGAAGGAAAAGAAATTTAGATGTTTCGAAGATTCAGAACGTCCTCTGTTACTTTTTCGAAGTATCTAGCGAGTTTCATTACTGACTACTCAATTACGAAAACATTTTCTTCCGCAACTAAAAGATTTTTTTTATTATACGTATATCAATAATGGCGCGCGAATGTGAAAGTCATCAGGCTATCTTCAAGGCTACATCGCACTTTTGTTGGATTCATAACGATTTTCTACCTTTCACACATCTGTCGACGATAAATTCAATATCGGTTCGCAGCCGATTCTCGGACGTTCAAATTTTTGCAGAAAATAATTGAGGGCGCGTATCGTGATAAGACGGAAAATACGGAAATCGTATGTGGCAAATATTCTTGTCCGTAACTATTAAAAACGAAAGCACGCTGATTAATAGTGGCGATACGTGTTACACGCGTATAATTTTAAACAGGATACGTGCGACTTGCTCAAAGTATTGCTAATAAATATACGTGATTGTTATGTGACGTTTATTGAGGATATCGATAGCTGTATGTAATTAGCAGCAACTTTAAGAAACATAAAGAACATCGAGTCCTGATGTTCTTAATATGTACAACATAAGCGTACCTACTTAATCAGAACGGCAATATCTGCCGGACTTTATACGATTATTATTAAAGTAAAAGTCCAATAACGAAGGTCTTTCGCACATAAAAATGAAAAATGTAGGAGTACAATGATCCACTCTTTCGAAACATCCTGACATCTTTATGACATGGAGCAGCTGCGTTTTAATACAGGCGACGCGAGAAATTTGGGACGATGATTTCTATCGATTAATCGCGCGATTAATCGTACGATTAAACGTCGTTAACTTAAGAATTTAAACAACACCGGTTTCGATAAATATCGTAGTAATAAAGATAAGAGAATATATTTATTTATATATTTTCTTAAATATCTTTCGTAAATTTCTTCGAATTTATCTCTTTTTTTGTATTAATACTAATATACAGATTAGATTTGTTTATACAGTATTAACTAAACAATTTTCTATCGATATTAAATCAATCGTATAGAATTAATTAACGAACAAATACCAGAGAAATTACATTTCAATCGTACTTCGCTACAAATGGTTCCACATAATTCAAGAACCACCATCATCAAAAATAACTTTAAAACGTTCAACATGCTTTATAGGTTAAACACATAATCAGCAGCCCGTTACATCAAAAATAATTTCCCAATTTCCCAACCATCTGGTATAAACACTTTATCAAACATCTTAACTATTCGGAAGAAGAAACACTAACAATCTTTGTCGGTTACGATTAACTGACAGATGTTAGTTACAATGAAACATATAAGTTAACAATTATAAGAAACCCGAAAATCTCGGTATTACGATAAAGCTGAATTTTGAGGGAATTCTTACAATTATAAAAAAAAAATTGTAAATGATTTTATACAGAAAACTGTCACAAATCTGTCGTCGATTCAAAGTTCGATTCACTCTATGAAAAGCTGTATCGTCTGATCGTACTCAATGACTTTATTAATTTTAATATTACATAAATACTCCGGACGTGAACGATTCTCATAGACGACGCGCTATTTCCTATACTCATCGCTGCGAGTATAGTGTTTTGCACGCTGTACAAAATATCAATTAGACGCTACGCATATATTCACGTTGTTACTTTGACTTTTTACTGAAATGTATCCGCACACTTGTTTATATTTAGTAGGATGTAACTCAATTACGAAATTACAGTTAAGTGGAATTACAGTGATTTTATCCTTCGTACGAATGATCGTCGTATAATTATGTAGCGTAGAATATCATGGCACATTAAGATCGAACAAATCAACGTTCGCGACTGTCGAATTTTGCGACCATTTTTTTTTTTTTTTTTACATTGAATATTATTTATAATTTTCATAAAGATAATAAAATTTAGCGGAGGCGAACCAATTGCGTATTTTCAACAGAAACAAAACGACTTACAAGAGATCCTTGAATAAAAAGATTATTATATCTCGTAACATTCTAATTTCTCGAAAACGATGAATTGATCTCGATAAAGTTTATCAATTTCATCTCTGTACAACTTACTGCGTTTAACATAAAGTAAATATTGGACTCACCCGTGGCGGACTGGGTCTGAAGCAATAGTCCGATCAGCGAAACCAGGACGTAAGTGTTGTACCGGGGTGCCACGATACCCC